GGTGCTCAATTCATGACCTTCCCCTTCCGTACCTAAGTTCTCGAGCCGAGACACTCTTGGTGATGACAGATAAGTGGCCTTTGACACGAGTCCCGGGTTTTTTAAATTTTTCAAAAAATATTTACGTGGCGACTCTGTATCTGGTAATGTAGTCCATTTTTGGCATTTTGATTCAAAATCAATTTTCCAAAGGATTTGTCGGATTTGGACTCATTAGTGTTTATCTATTTCACATTGCACTTGTGAAATCAGATTCAGGAGAGTCCGAACTGTGGGGTTAGTCGTATCCAAAAGAAACATGAAAAGTCAAGCCACACCTTCGCACTGTTTTTTGTGTTTTTCTTTTTCTTTTTATTTGTTGATGTAATGTTTTCATCATTATCAATTAATATGCGTGTGTACAATTTAAATAACTAAAAAGAAAATAAAAAAATTCATTACACGTTGTGTTAATAAGTGGTAACGTAAGATTTTAGTTTCAAGTTTCACTCTCTTCTCTTCTCTCTTTTTAATTTTATTTTTTTATAAAAAAAATAGAGAAATGAGAATTCCACTTGATATAAAGAGGAGAAAATGCTTGAGGACAAACCCAACCTTTATTTTTATATATAATATAGAAGTATAGATAAATTTTCCATTTTGTCGATTTAAAAAAATAAAGCTCTTTGGAGAAATTACAAAAAAATTTAGAGTTTGATATTTATAACAAAATAAATTATAAATTTTTAATTTTATTAGTTTAAATCTTTATATTTTGATTTATTTTCAATTTAAACCATTATCATACTTTCGTTAAGTAAAATCAAAGGGAAAATGATATTATAGTCATTAAATTCAAAGTAAGTGTATATAAAATGTCTAAAACACCATTTTTGGTTGAGTTTAACAATTAAAATATTTTAAATTATAGTTTTATTTAACATAAATGTATCAATGGTTTAGATTGAAAATAAATAAAAATTGAATAATTCTATGAATACAAACACTTTTATTAAAAATCTTACTAAAAAGATTGATTGTCAAAAAAAATAAAAAAAGAACTGAGATTTGAAAATCAAATAATGTTTAAACACTTACTTTTAGTAAGGTTAGTATATGTAGCATTGTTTGAAAAAACATTTATGTTTAAATTAATAAAATTAAAAATTTAAGATTTATTTTGTTATAAGGCTCAAAACCTTAGATATTTATTATTTATTTATTTTTTTGTAATTTTCCCTATCAATTTTATAAACTGATTTTTGTTTATTTTTAGAAAAACATAAATTATAAACGCGTTTGGTTTGAATAAAATGTTTAAAAGATTTTAAAAATATAAATTAAAAAATATGTTTGTTTAGGCTTAAAATATTTATATTTATTTTTTTATTATTATTTATGACAATGGGATCATACACATTATAATTGAAAAAAAATAATTAAAGAAATTAATTGAAAAAAAATTTATTTGAAAAAAAAATTATTTGAAAAAAAAAATAATTTTAAAAAAATTAATTGAAAAAAAAATTAATTGAAAAAAAATTTGTTAGTTAAATTTTTAAATTTCTATTTAAAAACCAACATAAATTCATTTTTTTAGTTTACTTTTTTCCCTCAAATTTATAAACTGACACAATCATTTATAAACCAAAAAAATTATCAAACAAGTTTTTATGATAACTTTTAAAATTTTTATAAATATAAATTAAAAACTGAAACAAAATGGTTACCTTAGTTTTTTTTTTTTTTTTTTCTTTGTGTGTGTGTAATTGCCCCAAATTCTTTTATAACATGTGTAATATTGACATTTAATATGAATTAATTATTAGAATAAATATCCAATTAATGATTGCATTAAGTGGTTATAAATTTAGCATAATTTTACTCTCACTCTATTAGTTTTATGCGCATTGCTACACATAATTAGTTCACTAAATCATCCTTTGAGTTTTGTCCGTGATTGAATGTGGGACCAACTTTTTGAGCGCGTCTCATTGATAAAATTAGAGTATGAGATTTATATTATTAATCTGTAAGCTCAATAATCTTATGTTTATTTTAAAATTTTGTTTTAAAATTATTAATGCAATGGATAATTAATCTAAAAAATTTATACGATTATTAGTAATGGGGTAGGAGTGAGATTATATATCTTGAGCTGAAAAATAAAATAAAAAAACTCTTTTACCCTTGACTAAAAATTAAAACACTTATTACTTTTATATAAATTTATATTTTAGAAGGCTTAAAATAATTTTTAAAAAATTTTAAATTTTTTTTGATATTTATTTTATCAAAATAGTTTATATATATATATATATTAAAAAATAATTAAAAAGCAAACCAAACATGGCCTTTTTATTTTTCTTTTATTTATTTATTTATAATTTTTTTTTTCAAAACCACGTTTATGAAGAAATTTTGATAAATAAAGATTGTGAAGAAATATTGATAGAGGGTAAGATTGAAAAAGAAAATAAATATAGTTGTAATTCTACATTTATATATTTTTTTATCCAATATAAATTAAACAATGAACAAAGTGATAATTTATCATTACTGCATGGGGGAAAAAATCAAGTATATCACACTCATAAACTTCTCATAGAACATTGAAGATGACAATGAAAAAAGAATGTAGACTTGCATGATCCAGTCCCAATAAAAAGAAAACAATTTTACAAGAAAAGATATTAATGCTATAAAAAAAAAAATTATGTTAGTTAGATATCCATTCAGGTGTTTCGTAATTGGATCCTAAAATGATATTATTATCCAGTATGTTGAATAACACAGTGGGACAGACATGGCACGAAATGAAAATAAACTAACAAATACCAAGGGGTTTGTAACTAGCTAGGGGTATTCTGGAACTAAAAAGTGATTTGATGTATAAGTCATTACACCCAAGAGATTGGCTAGATATGCTTCTAAAAAGGATAAGCTAGAGCAAATAATGAGGGTGTTTGTTTAGATATTTTTTTAGCTAACTTATAATTTCAAAGTTTAGAAAAATTATTTTGGATTGTTTGATTAAACTTATTTTAAATAGTTTTTAATTCTAACAACTTATTTTAACTTATAAAAGTTAATTTTGAGAAGCTGTTCATTCCTTACTTCTGCTTATCAACTTCTGCTGTGAACATATAAATTTATAGTTATGTCCTTAGATTTTTTTTATTTTTTATTTTTTTAAAGATAGAAAAAGACCCAAATAGACTATAGATTATTATTATTAATATTATTATTATTATTTATGAGAAATGTAGACAAATAGTGAATAATAAAAGATAAAAATTAATTGAAAAAACTTACTTCATACCTTATTTAACAAACACTACTAAACAATTTAAATCTATAATTCAACAGCTACACTAAACAGATTAACAGTTTCTGATTAAAATCATAATCTATAATCTATTAAATTATAATCTATAATCTATTTTAACAGTTACACCAAACGAAGCCATGTAGATAGATTAATTCTCCTTCTCTCAAGTGAATGTCCTCAGACGAGCAAAATTGGAATGATGATAAATTTAAATCTGAAAATCAACAGATCTTCAATTTTATGTCTCTAGTTAGATCTTAGCTGTAACTAGATTCAACTCAAATTTAGACTACCGGTGATTGTCGGAAATAATCATTTTGTAGGTAATAAATGAAATGAAGATGAACATTTATTGAATTTGTAGATATGACATAAAAGAATTAACTATCTTATCAGCTCAAAGGCCAAATGATTATAATGAGAAAATCTATTCTTTTATTTCAATATGTAAGTGCATCCATACATACACATTTAAATTTATATATACAATGTACACAAATTTTCTCATCCATAACTCTCTCTCCCAGTAGGTGATTTCTGCATGAATTAAAACTGCACCTTCAATCTAGATAGAACATTGAAAATATTCATCAATTTCATTTGAAGAAAGGACAATACAACCACCTCGACAATAGATGAGAACTGTTAAATAATTACTCTCCGAGAATATGTAATTTACAGAATGGGAAAAAAAAAAAACAGAACATATTATAAAGCATGAACAGATTTTAATCTTTAACAGAATAATAAAATAGATTATAAATCTTGACAGAACTTACAACTTTCTGCAATATTAAACTTAGAATAAACTTGTGATTGAGGCCAGTGTATGGACACTGTGTCTTTAAGACAGAAATTCGTCCTCTCCTAGGTGCTCGAGAATAACGGACGTCCTGCCTCCAGGATACAACAATCACCCCAAACGGATGCAGCACTACAACCTTGTTTGTACAGCGAACCAGAATGTTTATTTGAACTCACACAAGATGCAAAGATGAAGATGTACAGAAACAGAAAAACAGAGAGGACTGATACGGGAATCTACTTTTATTTATATTTTGGAATGGAGGATTGCTAAATATATATAATGGCAGTGGAGTGCCATTTCCGAACAGACAAAACCTGTTAGGAAGAACAGTCGTGATTGTTCGGAATTTGAAGAAGGATAACCGAAAATTTTGAATTCAAAATTTCGGTATTTGAATGTTACCCGCAGAAATTTATTTGAATAAATTCAAATAATTTTGGAGCAAAAATAAAGGACGGGTAAGATCCAAACCCACACCCGACCCGGCCGGACGGACGGCGGCGGCGCGCGCGTGTGGTGATGGTTTTGTCCATAACTCCTCCTCCTACAAAACTTGGGTACCCCTTGGGGCCCAAGCCAAGGTCTCCACCTTAGAGCTTATAAACACTTTGAAACTCTTCTATGTTTCCTATGTGGGACAAAGTTTTAGATACCAATTCAAAGTAACCACACAAAACATTTTTCATGTTTATGAGGCTTACTTCGGTATCAATTTCTCATTCACTCGTAAATGGTTTCAACCACCCGAGTATATATACTTGTTCACCACATGGCAAGGAACGTATTGCCACTCGGACCCACCCAAACCGAGGTGTGGGACCTACATTAATTAAAGCTCAAAGTTACCGGAAATTAATGGTTATAAACCATTTTTCTCTAACAAGAACCTTGTGGAAAGCTTTGGGTGAATGTAGTTTGGCCAAATTTCCATTAATAACTTGTTCAGCCACTCACAGTGCTCCAATGGTGTTCCTGGCTGTTTAAACATGCAAAAGGATGCAAATCAATTTGATGAAGCACAATTGAAATGTGATTGAAGAAAAGAAAACCCACCGACATAGTATGACTTGATTCCATTTTCTATTCAAATCCTCTACATGGATTTGTCGTTGATAACTACTATACTGCAGATGAAAAGAATGAAATTTTATATCAGTGCATTTAAATATCTACCATAATAATCCTATCCTTTCATTCAATGATATCCAGATCATCTGGAAAAGAGGAAAGCAACAGAGATAAAAAGAACAAATAAATAAACTCTATCATAGGCACAAGAATTATTTATTTTCAAAAAAATTTCAAGAAACTCCGTTATAGGATTGATTCCAGTGTCAACCGCAAAGCAAGAACAAGAACCTCAAAAAATCAGCTCACTGGTTTGGATTCAAGTAATTAATATTCAAAAGCTCTGCAAGATAGCTCCCAAATGTTGCAAAAATGGCTAAGAAAGAATGTTCCGGACCTATGCCAACATTAAGACCCATAATAAAAGCATTCATGTGAGGCAAAAAGCATATTTCAACATGGAAATGTAAGCTTCCATGTCTCAAAGTGCAAGAATTAGGGCTGACATGTTCCTGGATGTTGGCATATCTCTTACAATAGTAGCAAGATTCATGCTCAACTTGTAATATTGACTCAGATGATGTTACTTTAATTAAAAACAAAAAATAAAATAAAACAAGAAAAGAAGAAATTACCGACAGACTCATCTCAATGGTAAAATTTTGAAAACGTACATATGCAGATTTGAATTAAGGGCATTCTGTGCTCTTTGACAATTAAGTCAGTGTTAGGTCTACACAAAGAGCACTTGTCAACTCTTTTGATACATCGGCCCACCCACATGGATTGGACCAATACTTAATTATGGCTTTTATGTATGGAAAATGATTTGTCCTCCTAAAAAAGTCCCCCTAATCCCCTTAATCCCCAAAACGACGTCGTTTTGGAGATTTTTTTTTTCTTTATTTTTTCTTCTTCCATGTTCGACTCTTTTTTTTGCCTTGGTTTGAAATTTAGGGGGATTAGGGGGGAAAAAATTAAGGGGATGTAGCATGGCCCTTCATGTATATACTATTTAGGGTCTGGAATTCGCTACTCATTGTCTTTTATTTTTGCATTTCCCTCAATGTTTTTAGAAAACACATTTTTTGGGTGATTTAGGAACTAATTACATTAACGTTGTGTTTGGTTGAGGAATTTAGGAAGGGATTTGGAAAGGGAAAGAAAAAGGAAAAGGGAAAAGGTATATGAAACTAAAATGTAAGTATATTTTATTCACATTTCACCTATTTTTCTTTTTTGCTTTCCAAATTCCTTCCTAAATCCGCCAACCAAACACAGTGTAAAAAGACCATAAAAATTTATCTTCATTTTCATCATGCAACATAGTGCTCCCATCTGAATCCGGATCTTCGGCCGCCCTACCCGGCAGCCCCCCAAAACGACATCGTTTTGGGGGTTTTTTGTTTTGTTTTGTTTTGTTTTTTTTTCTTTTCTTCTTCTTCGTTCTTGCTTTCTCTCTCTTCGAAACCAGAGGGGAGGGGAGAGGGAGATGAGGGAGGAAGGAGGAGGGAGGAGGCTGCGAGCTCGCCATCGCAGCTCGTCGCCTCGCCGCCGGCCGCAGGCCGATTGTCGCCCGATCCAGCTCATCGCAGCAGCTGCACCGCCGTCGCCGCAGCTGCACCGCCGTCGCCGTCGCCTCCGCCTCCTCCTCCTCCTCCTCCCCCACTGGTTATGGCCCCCTCCAGTCCGGCCCTTCCCTTCCTCCTCCTCCTCCTCCCTCCTCCTTCCTCCCTCTTCCTCTCCTTCCACCCTCTCTTCCTCTGCGTTTTTTTTTTTTTGGAAATTTGCCCCCAAAACGACGTCGTTTTGGGGGCTGCTGGAAACGGCTGCCGGGTAGGGCGGCCGAGAATCCGGACTCCTCCCATCTATGCAGTATGTACACATAGGGGCCCTCGCGATTGAGTAGCCTAGCTAAACCATATACGAACTACATCGAGCTAATTGCTCTATAACACCACAAAGTAGTTAGCACACAAGCTTCTGTCAAACGTGTCAAATATATAATAGTTGTGTCTTAAGGTATCTTGTATTTTTACTTTACACTTTATTTTGCTGTGATGGGCCTTTTATGGAGCACGGAGACAGTATTGTTGGGGGTGGAGTTGAGAAGTTCTGAGCTTTGTAATCCTTATCATGCATAGTGGATTTGAGTGGTTTTTCTAACATGAAAATATGGCCTCTTGTATTGTAACCTCCATTTCTCCATTGAAAGAACTTCAATTGGAAAAGTGCACCAAATTTTACGACAAGTATAAATCTACAATCTCCTTATTAAAGAGAAACAATGTTAAATAGGTGAAAATTTAGTCAGAGCAACTCCTTGCAGACATTGAGCTCCAATGGATAAGAATTACCTCAGAATTACAAAAAGAAACTGAATCAGAAAAGTAACTTTACGGGGTCAGTGGCACATGGGATGTGCACTAGCCTATAACTTTTATAAGTTTCAACACATCACCTAATATTACTGAATTTGGCAAATCATGAGGAGAGAGAGAAAACAAAATATACGTATACATAAAGATAATTAAAAGGTAGCTATGGAAGCAAGAGAGAGGAGCAGGAAACACACAACACACACACACACAAAAGCAGACATCAAACTTGGAGTGCCCATCATAATGGCCTAATATTCATTAAGAGATTATAATTGCAAGAGTTTTGAATCAAAAATAAAACCAATCAAAAAGAAGAGGAAGAGAGAAGACCAAAAGCTCAAACCAACAATCAGACCAGTCTATATAAACTCTAAAAATTATGAGTACCAAATTCATAATATTATGAGGAAAGAAAGCAAACTAAAAATATGTGGGATTTAGCATATACATACACACATATAATTTAAGCGTAGATATGGAAGCAAGAGGAGTAGGGGAGAGAGAGAGAGAGAGAGAGAGACAGAGAGTAGACATCAAACTTGGAGTTGAAGTGGCCATCATAATGGCCTAATATTTATTAACAGATCATAATTGCAAGAGTATTGAATCAAAAATCAAATCAATCAAAAGAAGAAGGAAAAAAAGAAGAGAGTAAAATAGAAGAATGGTAAATCCAATTACCACACACCAACAATCAGACAAATTCACAATTTCAAAATGAGGGAAGATCATAATGTCATGAAATGAATAAAACACAACTAGCTGTTTAACAAAAGCATTGGAAATTAGAGAAAAATTACCTGGATAGTTGCCCAGACAGTGACCACAAGAGAAACCCAATTGGAGAAAGAGAAAACCCATTTCTCAATAACCCAAACAACTAATATCAGAGGGAGTATGAAAAGTAGAAGATGCTTTTCCACCAATAATTGGGTCGAAACCTCTACACCTTTATTCAAATAAGAAACTATTTTCTTTCTTTTGTCCATTTCTGAAACAAGATTTCAAGTGAACCTCACTTCTTCACATAAAACTAAAACCCAGTTCTTAATTTAGATATTATGAAGATCAAAACAAAGCCCAGAACTTGATTTCCCTGAAGCTAAACAAGAAGAGAGTAAGTGGATTGTAGGGGGGTCAAATGCTTCAAATGGCCAAATGGGTAGCCAGAAAGAGTCTCTCTCTCTCTCTCTCTCTCTCTCTCTCTCTCTCTCAGCGTCAAAATCAGAAGGCACCGTTAAAGACGAGGGGTGTTTGCTTGGATTTTTTTGAATTATTTTATAGTTTTTAATTTTGAAAAGTTATTTTGGTTTATTTAGTTAAATTTAATTTGAACAGTTTTTTATTCTAATAATTTATCTTAGCATAAAAAAATTGATTTTGAAAAGTTGCTTATCATTTATTTCTATTTATCAGTTTTTGTTGTGAACATATTAATTTACGGTTATACTCTTAATTTTTTAATTTTTAATTTTTTTATTTTTTATTTAAAAAAAAAAAGATTCAAATAGATTATAAATTATTATTATTATTATTATTTATGAAAAATGTAGACAAATAGTGAATAATAAAAAATAAAAGTTAATTGAAAAAATTATTTCACAGTTTATTTAATAAACACTACTCAGCAACTTAAATTTATATTCCAACAGGTACACCAAACAGATTAATAGCTTCTAATTAAAGTCACAATCTACAATCTGTTTTAACTGTGACACCTGAATTTTCTTTTTTTAAAATTCAAAATTTGCAATAAAAAGGACTCAAAAAAAATAAAAAAATTAATAAATAAATAAAATAATAATAATAATAATAAAAAACAATAATAATAATAATAATAATAATAATAATACATAAATAAATAAATCAATGCATAGTTTAGGAAATTGGAAATTTATCGATTAAATTGTTAAGGAAGTAAATTGTAAGGCACCACACACACGTTAAATATTTTAGAAAGTGGTAAGTGATGTTTTATAGTTTGGTAGTGAGGCTTTTAGACACGAACCTAACCTATAATCATACGAAATTTTTGAGATCATTGTGGATTACCAAAGAGGGTGACAACTCTCAGAATTATAAGAAGCCGACCTTAATCTTCTAGAAACATTAAATTAGATGACGCCAACCCTAATCTTCTAGAGCCATTGAATTAGATAAGGCTAACACTAATCTCTAGATGACCTTTGGTCAATTGGTGAGGTAAGAGTCAAGGCCCAGGTGGCGCTTTATGAGAACACGAAATTAACTTAAGCTCCAAGAATTGATGAATATAAATAGGGCATTATAGTAGAAGCAAGGAAGGGAATCATTGAAAAGAGTAGAAAAAGAAATAATACGGGAGGTTCAGTAAAACGGGAAGAATAGGGATAAATTTATATTAAAGGTGAGTTTTGTTATACTTTGAGTTACTATTATATGTTTTCTACATGTCTTGAGTTACCATAATATATTTTATGAACATTTTGAGTTACCACAATTCATTTTATATAATTTATGTTTATGGTTAGATTAATGTTTCAATTACGTGGATTATTTTTTGAACTCTATTTGCGTAAATTAAAACTCACGGACATATTTGTTTAGAAAGTATTTGACAATGATTTTGTAAACAATTATTTTCTGTAAGTACCACTATAGGAGTCCCATGCCTCGGGAGACTTAAATAATCATTGGCCCCTGTTTAACCACCTTGTGTTCTCCTGTTTGTCATGGATCCATTGACCCCTGTTTTGATTGTCACTTTAGTGACCCCTGTTCTGTTCTATTCTGTACTGTAGTTATAGTTATTTATTTCAGTTCTGCCACTTAATTAATTTATGTATTCAACTCAAATTATGTTAATGTTTTAGTCTAAATAGCTATCCATGGCTATTTTGGTACCCCTATACTCACAATATAATATTTCTTACTCGGCTATGTGCTTATAGCTGTTACCCCTTTCAGGTGACGAAGTTTAGCAGGATCAAGATAGAGAATGAATCGCTGTGTGTTTTTTTTTTTTTAAGATTTCTCAACTCAAATTATGTTAATGTTTTAGCCTAAATAGCTATCTATGGCTATTTTGGTACCCCTATACTCACAATATAATATTTCTTACTCGGCTATGTGCTTATAGCTGTTACCCCTTTCAGGTGACGAAGTTTAGCAGGATCAAGATAGAGAATGAATCGCTGTGTGTTTTTTTTTTTTTAAGATTTCTATCTGTTTTTTTTTCTGAACTCTTGTAATACAATAAAGCTCAATTGACTATGTTTGTTTCATTTTATTAAACATTTGGTACCCAATTATTTTAATTTAATTTATTTAATTTAACCACTTGCGCTACGACTACAAAATTATTTGAATTATTTTATGTTTATCTTGTTACGACACCGAACCTTTGGGTACCGAGTTTGAGTCATGACATTAACAGTTATACCAAACGGGCCACAGTTTGGTCCGTGATCGTCCGTTTTTCTATATGAAAAATATTAAAAATTTAAAAATTATACTAAAATTTTTATCAAATATTTTATATTAGTGTGATGTAGATTTTATGAAAATTTCATATTTAGTAAAATATTTATTAAAAAGATTTCGTATAACTTTTAAATCTCTAACATTATTCTTAGCAGATTATAGCCCCACAAGCTCTATCTTGTCTGGCCCCGCCATGATCTTTTACTTTTCCAAAAGAATTGCATTGCAATAACTTAAAACAAAAAAACGCTAGTAAATATTAAGAGAAATTTTTCAAAAGTCCAAAGTTTGACTTTATAATAAAATAAATTTTAAATTTTCACTTTTATTAATTTAAATTTATTTTTAATCTAAACTAATTACATATTTTTATTAAGTAAAATATGATTAAATAAATAATATTTTACACTATCGTTAGGACCAATGTCTAAGTAAACTATTAAACTCAACGATCTTAAATTTTTTTAAAATATTTTATATGTATTTATATTGAGTTTGATAATTAAAATATTTTTTTTATCAGTTTTATTTATGAGGGATGAGTTAGTGATTTAGATTGAAAACAAATTAAAATATTATAGTTTAAATTGATAAAATTAAAAACTCAAATTTATTTTATTATAATTCTCAAACTCAAATTAGTGATTTATTAGCCCAATCTTGCGTACTTTAAATTTATACCATACATCTCTTGTTGGGTTAATTTTAAGACAAAATTTCTTAGTTCATAGAATTTTCTTTTGTTTTTTGTTTTTGCATTTACGTTTCTTTCCTTTTTCTCTTTCTTTTTTTTTTTTTTTTGGGAAAAAAATCCAAACAGTGCACAACATGATAATGCAATAGTAATTTTGTGTGTGGATACCATTGAGCATGATATTTACCCTTCGAAGAGTGTTCGGTAATTATGAAAAGGCACTTTCTTATTTTTTTAACATTGTTATTAACCTTGACAATTTTCTAAATACCATAGCATTGCACACGTGTAAGATTAGTACGATTGCAAACTCTATCTAGATTCTGTTTAAACAATTTTGGAAAGTAGGAACAATTACATTATTATTTCCATTTATTGTTCCACTTCGAAACTTATATATAGTTGCATTATGGCACATATCTTTACACTATTTACAACACAAATACTTTCATCGTCCAATACAATATTTCACTCTCTCTCTTTCTATTTTTTGTTCAAATCAACATGGATACTCCTCTCCTCTCTCTCCCTCGCTCAGAACGAATGGTTCACCAAAATGTCTGTTTTACATATTTTTTCTATAAATTGTTATGTGTTTTGAATATGTGCTTCGAGTTATTTTTTTTAAAATTTTATGTACTTAATGTGTTATTGATTTAAATTATTGTGTTGTATTACATACATGCAGGGTTTTCGTCGTGCTATTTTTGTTACCATGGGCATTGTTGCTATGCTAGGATACACATATGACTGGATGGACTTCAAATTGACTAGAACAAGTTTGATGGGCTTCAAATTGACTAGAACAACAAGTTTAATAGATGTGTTAAATTTTGGAGCTATCGGAGATGGAATTGCTGATGATTCCCAGGTACACTATTTCATTCATGCATGCCCTTACATTAGTTTGCATGGTGATGCCATGCAGAGGAACCACACTCTACTAGGTGAGAATTTTTTTTTATAAAATATATATATCATGAAGTCAATATATGTAAAATAGTGGCACAAATTTAATCTATATGGCATTGGTTATTTTTAGTAATTTTTAAATTTTTTGATTTTTTAAAAAGCTTTAAAAAAGAGGTTTGGGAAGTCCTTCTAAAACCATTTTTTGTAAGAGAATTTTCTTTATGTATTATTTGACTTTTTTTTAACTGATGATAAAAAAATAAGTGGCTTTAACCCAAGGATTAGATGAGTTAGTAAGATAACAGTTTGCGTATCCGAAAGTTGCGGATTCAAAACTTATACCACCTTGCTTATAGTCTTTGACTGAAATTGAGGGGTAAAGGGTGAGTTCCTCGACATCCTCCCCTGAGTTGGCTTGTAAGGTTGGTTCATAAATGGGCTAGGCCTTGAGAGTTCCCGGGTCATCAAAATTTAAAATAAAATAAAAAAAAATAAAGAAAGGTGGGCATATTCCTCATGATGAAATAGTGCTTTCGTTTGTTATAGTTTTATTTTTATTTTATTTTTATCTATTATTATTATTTCAAATAATAACATTCATTTACGCTTACTAAATGTTACTTGTTATTTTGTTACTGCACATTATTCATAATTTGTGAGTATTATTATCGAGGTGAGCATTTTCGGGTGGTAGTATCTTATTGAGCTCGTTGCTTACTGGCATTCCCGTTGTCCTGACGTTTTATGCCAGGTACTGAAAAAACCGAAGGAAACACCGAGGCCTTGCAAGGAGGCATTCAGCCTTGGTTAGCTTGAAGAGTGCCCAAGTTCCATGAACCATTTTCTAAAAATTTTAGTTTTTCTCTAGTTTTCTTTTTATATTCAACATGATAATGCAATAGTAATTTTGTGTGTGGATACCATTGAGCATGATATTTACCCATTCGAAGAGTGTTCGGTAATTATGAAAAGGCACTTTCTTATTTTTTTAACATTGTTATTAACCTTGACAATTTTCTAAATACCATAGCATTGCACACGTGTAAGATTAGTACGATTGCAAACTCTATCTAGATTCTGTTTAAACAATTTTGGAAAGTAGGAACAATTACATTATTATTTCCATTTATTGTTCCACTTCGAAACTTATATATAGTTGCATTATGGCACATATCTTTACACAATTTACAACACAAATACTTTGAATTCATTCATCGTCCAATACAATATTTCACTCTCTTTCTCTTTCTATTTTTTGTTCAAATCAACATGGATACTCCTCTCCTCTCTCTCCCTCGCTCAGAACGAATGGTTCACCAAAATGTCTGTTTTACATATTTTTTCTATAAATTGTTATGTGTTTTGAATATGTGCTTCGAGTTATTTTTTTTAAAATTTTATGTACTTAATGTGTTATTGATTTAAATTATTGTGTTGTATTACATACATGCAGGGTTTTCGTCGTGCTATTTTTGTTACCATGGGCATTGTTGCTATGCTAGGATACACATATGACTGGATGGACTTCAAATTGACTAGAACAAGTTTGATGGGCTTCAAATTGACTAGAACAACAAGTTTAATAAATGTGTTAAATTTTGGAGCTATCGGAGATGGAATTGCTGATGATTCCCAGGTACACTATTTCATTCATGCATGCCCTTACATTAGTTTGCATGGTGATGCCATGCAGAGGAACCACACTCTACTAGGTGAGAATTTTTTTTTATAAAATATATATATCATGAAGTCAATATATGTAAAATAGTGGCACAAATTTAATCTATATGGCATTGGTTATTTTTAGTAATTTTTAAATTTTTTGATTTTTTAAAAGCTTTTAAAAAGAGGTTTGGGAAGTCCTTCAAAAAACCATTTTTTGTAAGAGAATTTTCTTTATGTATTATTTGACTTTTTTTTAACTGATGATAAAAAAATAAGTGGCTTTAACCCAAGGATTAGATGAGTTAGTAAGATAACAGTTTGCGTATCTGAAAGTTGCGGATTCAAAACTTATACCACCTTGCTTATAGTCCTTGACTGAAATTGAGGGGTAAAGGGTGAGTTCCTCGACATCCTCCCCTGAGTTGGCTTGTAAGGTTGATTCATAAATGGGCTAGGCCTTGGGAGTTCCCGGGTCATCAAAATTTAAAATAAAATAAAAAAGTGACTTTTTGACATTTTATAACTCATCCTCAAACGTCCGCATAATTACATACAACCTTAAAAATACTCTGATAGGTATGTTTACACAATTTTTAGTGTCCTGTTTTATTAGGAATTTTTATTTATTTATTTTTTAGTCATGTCATAGAATCAAATTTAGAATGCTTATACTAGAGATGAGATGGACTCACTTTGTAAGTGTTTTATTATTATTAATTTTTTTTGATTTTGATCAGAAAAATAAAATTCTATTTATGACCATGACTGATGATGATGGATTTCGCGGTATACATATTATACGCGTGCAATATATTTCAATTTTTGAATTGTTCCTTGAATGAAAAATATTAATTGATTATAAAAACTGATTAGCAGTTATGATGATATGTTTATTTCATTCAGGTAATATTTTTTAAAATCAAAATTATCTGACAAAATTTTAAAAAACTGTTTTGAATTGTGTGTTTTATAATTCTATCCACATAGAACGTGCCTGGGTCATAGAGTTGGCTTCGGCGGTGTTGGTTTTCAAATATTTTTTTTTATTTTTTTATTCTATTTTATGGATTAATAACGTCTTAATTATTTTAATTTGTCAAAAACAAAAGGCATTTTTGAAGGCATGGAGTGCAACTTGTGGATCAACATCGAACGGTCCTAGTATGATCATACCTGGAAACAAGACATTCTTAGTGAAGCAACCGGTCCGATTTGAAGGTCCATGCAAGTCCTCTTCCATCAATGTCCAGGTATTTATTTATTAAAACTCATGATTTTCATTTTATTTTTTTCAAATATATTTTAAATCATTTTAGTTATATTTAATACATTTATATATATATCTGTGTGTATACTTTATATTGCAATTTTTTCTTGATGTTTTTTTTCCCTTATTTTTAAATCAGTAGTACTAATACGGAAACAAGTCATAGGATGAGACACATGGCTGGTTTAACAATTACGTTTTTAATAATTTTATTCTTTTTCCTTTTTTTAATAATTTTTTAAGATAAAGTTATTGGTAAAAACGTTACATTTTGATATTGAAAAGCTGGGGTGGGGTTTGGAATTGTCTTTGGTGTTTAAAAAAATACAGTTTTTAGATCTTCAAAATTGAATGTTTAAAAAAAATACAGTTTTTAGATCTTTCAAAATTAAAAGTACTTGAAATTTAAAACTTAATAATAATAATAACTTTAAAATTTTTACCAAAACTAAAAGATAAAAAATAACCTTTAAGCACTTGCCAAAGATGATGTGTCTTGTTAAAAAAAAACTCTTTTTTTTTTTTTTAATCTTGTCATCTAAATTAGCATATTTTTTTGTAACGATTTCTTGCCCGAACATTCAATTTTTTTTTTCCCTTTTGGTTTAAATAGAAGAAAAAAAAAAAAACTTGTTTTTTAATAGTAGCCAAACAGAGACATACTGCAAGCAAGTTCCACATTTATTGTGTTTGTGTGATTTGTTTTTGCATTAATATTTTTTTTTTAATAACTTTAAAATACCCAACAATTCTGCTGTGATTATAATGCAATTTTCTTCTTTTTTTTCATTAATGAAATACAGGTTTGGGGTGACATTAAAGCACCAGACATGATGAATTTTGGTGATATAAACTCTCATACTTGGCTTGTTTTCTCAAATGTTGATGGGCTTATTGTCAGTGGAACTGGGCAAATTGATGGCACTGGAAAATCTTGGTGGGATTCCTGTCCAAAGGTGGGTTCTGTTTAGATGTGAGAAAAAATAATAATAATAATAATAATAATTGGAGTTTTTCATCTTGGTTAGAAAATTAAAATATATATATTATTGCAATTTCTCACTTTTTATTTGGATGGACAATGATTAAAAGAGGAGGATACAAGTGTTTTTTAAATTTTTTTTTTTTAATTTCCTCTAAGTTTAGGGTGTTAGTTTAGATATTATAATTTTTTTTGTAAAGAGTAATTTTAGTTTTTCAATAAATCTTACAACTTTTGGTGAAAAATAAGACTTACGTTTGGAGTTATTTGTTTTTCTCACCAATTTTCTTTCTTTCTTGTAATTACTCACCTTATTAATCATACAAACAAGGGGTGATAAAAAAATCTCATTCTCTTTGAATCTTTTCTTTTCCCACCAAACCCTCAATCCAAATAGAGTGTTACTTATTAATCTCATCTAATCCTAATTAAACTAACGCATAGCACGAGATTATCTATATGTCTCAAATCCCCGTTCCTTTGTTCTAAAACATTCAAAATTGTTTGGATTATGCTCGATATTTCAATAATTATCTCACGTTTAATTTTACCGTATCATTCTTGTATAAATTTTTATATAGAATTTTTATTTGTACATCATTACTCATTTGAAAAATTTCTTATACATATGTTCTCAATTTTCATCTGCAGGGAACAGATTGCAAGACGAGGCCTGCTGCAAGCAAAAATTTCTATTTTTACTCTCGGGCAATTTATATTGTTTATTGGCTCATACTCATCAAAGCATGCTTATTTTAAAAAAAAAAAATTAATTAATTTTTTTTATGATCCTAAACCCAATATTTTTTTTTATTTTTTTTGAAACAAGATTAAAAATTCTCTTTGAGTTTAAGAAAATACTACATGGTGGGTATCTTGAAAAATCAGAGTAAATTGTTATAAGCAAGTATTAGAAGCACATATTGTTCTTAAATTAAAGATGTTTGAGCTCAAACAATTACAATTTTCATTGCCAGGCTTTGACATTCAATCGGTGTAACAACCTTCGGCTAAGTGGATTGAGGCATGTCGATAGCGCAAATAACCACATTTCGATTACCAATTGCGCAGTTGTCACCATCTCAAACATTCATATAACTGCACCTGAAACTAGCCCTAACACCGATGGCATTGACATCAGCAATTCCAACCGTATTGTGATTCACGATTCTTACATTGGAACAGGTATTTTATTTTTTAAAAACTTTTTATTTGGCCATTTTAGCAGTTTTCCTTCATTTGATGTTTGCTGCTTAGTACATATTTACTTGTATGAATTTTATCAAAAAAAAATTTGTAATAATTGTAGGTGATGACTGCATTGCTATGATTAATGGCTGCAAATATATCAACATTACTGGCGTAAATTGCGGTCCAGGCCATGGAATAAGGTCAAAATTCTCATTAAAATAAATTTTATTTACAAAATTGCTTCCACTACATAATTTTACGAAAAAATTATGCATAAACTTTCATAAGAATAATAAATTTAAGTTCCATCGAGTTACTTTTTGAAAAAATAAATATATTTCTTTTCTTTTGTTTGTTAGCATTGGAAGCTTGGGAAAAAATGGAAGTAGAGCTACAGTGGAAGAACTACATGTGAAGAACTGTACCTTTAATGGAACTCAAAATGGGGCAAGGATCAAGACATGGCAAGTAAGAAACTCAAACCAAGTTTAGAAATTAATTTAATCTGACTTTATTTGCCTTAATTATATATTCTTTTCACTATTCATTTTCTCAAATTCATATGTTTATTTTTTGTGTGTTTTTTAGGGCGGGTCCGGATATGCTAAGATAATTTCTTTTGTTGACATTATACTTATTGAAACGGGCAACCCTATATTGATCGACCAGTATTATTGTCCACACAACACTTGCAAAGATCAAGTAAGAGTATATACCTTGGATTAGTATATACATTATTATCAATATCTTATTTCGTTATGTACATTTGTTATTGTTGTTGTTGTTGTTGTTGTTTATCATTTTTTTTTTTAATTTACTAATGATGAAATTGATATTTGTTTAAAAAAACTTTGATGACAGACATCAGCAGTAGGAATCAGCAATGTTTCATTTACTGGATTTCGTGGAACAACTAATACAATAGATGCAATCCAACTCAACTGCAGTAAAAACGTACCTTGTACCGACATTGAATTGAATCAGATCAACATAATGCCAACGCCTGATATGAAGCCGGGAACAATTCTTCAATCCACTTGCATTAATGCCCATGGAACATCTAACACATCCAATAATCCTAAAGTGACTTGTTTAATTCAGTAGCTTGACTATGATGTTATGAAGTGTTAATATTATAGTATATATTGTTATCATCATGGATAAGTAGGCAGATTAACATCGATCAGTTTAGTGGTTTTTTTATTTATTTATATATTTAATAAAACATCCATTTATATATTCTGAGATGTTTTTGGGCTTCTAATTTGTCATTTGCAAATTTTTTTTTTCTTTAAAATGTTTGTGTTTAAGATAGATTTGTTTATCATTCAAACCAATTCCAAAAGAGTTTTAAATTGAGTTGATGACAAACAGAGCTCAGGTAACTTGGCTTTTTAATTGCATGAAAAATTATCGTACTAAGTATAGTATGTTGTTCAAGTTTAGTTTAGAAACCTAATGAACTCGAAAATATGTTGAACATTAACACATTTATGTAATGAGTAGATGTAAAACAAAATATTAAAGCCAAACTCAAATAGTTTAGTTCGCTTTACATCATAATAAAGAGAGAACGTTGTGTTCAATAAAATTTGCTTTCGTCTTGCTTGAATATGCACAGGATCTGAAAGAATGTTTAAGAATCAATATCTACATTGCAGTTTTAAAATTTATCAATTCACAGCAAATAATATAGAACTACCTATTGTGAGAATGAAACGAGAAAAATAAAAACCTAGAGAGATGGAGAACTCGCTACACTTCACAACAATCGATGACTGCAACTACTAAAACAAATAAATTAAATAAATGAAGTTCAATATGTGCGAAGAAAATGTTGGGCACCTACATTGAAAAATTGACATAGACACTCTTGGAATTATTGTGCCAAAAAGACTGATATCAACTGATTAACACATTGTCAAAAGGTCTAAACAAATCTCAATGTCTATGAATCTAATCTTAATACAATACATCTAAAAGATGGATTAAAGTTATGCTAATATCATCCAATTTCATTTTTTCACTTTTATATACATACTAGTGGTGGTGCACTTGCTTTGAACGTGGTAATTTTTCTTTTTCCTTTTTTGTGATTTTTTTTTTTTTGGTTTTGTAATAGTTTTACCTTTTGAACCATTATTTTATTTTATTTTTATTTGTTAATGTTTAATATTTATGTTTAGAAGTCTAAAAACTCAAAGTATTTGAATCTTTGAATATTTGATCATTGATATATTTTTACACTTTTAGATAGTGCTTAGTTAAATAAAATAATTGTAGAAGAAATTAATATTATTAGACAATACAAATATAATAAATATATTTTTTTTATAATTGGATTCCATGTCCTTCATATGTAGATTTTTTTTGTAAATTCAAGAAAATAATGTATCAATTCCTACATATAAAGGGGCATTTATATTTATGTTTAAGTATTAAAATACTAACGGTTAGGACTGGACATAGGGTTATCTAAACCGTACAACGCGCCCAACTCGAACTGATCTGCATATAAATGAACGATTTCACGGACACAATGTGGCGGATGTGGTTTAGAATATGGTATTATTGCGGGTTCTGATAAGGTTGCGAGTTTTACCTGCACTTGCAAAAACCTGCCTGCACTTAGACTCTTTTATTTTATTTTACTTTATTTTTATTTTTAAAAACTTAGACCATTGATTTCATTCATCCTATCCTAAATATTTTTGAATTTTGAATGATTTTATTTTAATTGTATTATTGGGTAGTGAATGATTTTGATAATTTAGTTTAGGATTTTGAAAATTTTGCTTGTGTTAGTTTATAATTTTATTTAACAGTTTAGAATTTTGAATAATTTGTTTGTGTTAGGAATTGATTTTGTTGCGTTTTTAATTTTAGAAGTTTTAATTCAGTAATAATTAATGTTGAGCATTTTAGAAAATGGGGTAAAATTCAATTATTGTCTAAAGAATTTATTTAAAATTATTATTTTTTTCATTGTTGAGATAAAAAAATTCTAATTTTCTAAATTCAATTTTTTGAAAATGAGTTTTGTATTTTTAGTATTTTTTTTAGTGTTTTGTGTGTGTGTGTGTGTGTGTGTGTGTGTCTAGTCAATTTAAATTATATAGGTTATCATTTTGAGTATAAACTTATTTTTATATAATTTTTTGTATACATTTTAAATATATATATATATATATATATAAGTTTTTACGACATTGTGTTCTTTAGAAGAAAAGTTTTTGCTTTTTTTTATTTATTTTTATTTTTTTTATTTTACATATTGATTTAACAAGTTAATAGAGAAGTCATAAAAAGAAAACAAAAATGGGAATAATTCTTTTTTATTCATTGTCTTTTCAATTTTTTTCTTTAATGTAGGTAAAGTGTTTTTCAATTTTCAAATTGTTTCCAAAACAATTGTATTCCAAACATTTCAAATATGAATAATACTTCGTTGCTCGAAAATGGTGGCTCGAATATACAAAACGATTTTTTTTTTTTTCTTGCTTTCAAATACAGAGGGAAGAGAAGAGAAGAGGCGAGAGAGAGAGAGAGAGAGAGAGAAGAGAAGAGGAAGAGAGAAGAGGCGATGGCAGTGATGGCGGAGGAGGAAGATCGACGGTGATGTCGGCGGGTATCGCCGATCGCCTCCTCTGTTTTCTCTACTTTTTTCCCCCCTCCTTTCTAGTAGATCTGGATATGGATCTTGTTGTTGATGATGATAATGTGTTGATGATGATGATGATGATGATGATGTGTAGATGAAGATGTTGATTCTCTCTCTCTGTGTTGATGTTTGTTGAAGATGATGATGTGTTGATTCTCTCTCTTTCTTGTGTCCTAAACTCTTCAATCTCTTGGGTTCTAGCAAGTTCTTGGACAATTCCACCAATTGCCTCCAATTCTCATCAATTCTTGAACAATTCTTCATTTCCTCTTCTTTGATCTCACATGCTCTCATATTCTCTCTTTCTCTCTCTCTTCCCCCATCTCTCTCTACATTTTGACACCAAATAAATGAAGTGTATAGTGTATATAGAATGTAAAGTTATATGTAAACTTATATTCAAATAGAGCTATGCAGATTTATATGGGACATAAAATTTAAACTTATATTTACATATATAACCACCTTATTCTTACGTCATCCAAATACAAATAAAACCAAAAGGGACTTAGCCCTAATATAGATAAACAAAAACTTGTCCAAAAGACGTGAGAAAATAAATAAATAATAATAATAATAATAATAATAATAATTGGAGTTTTTCAACTTGGTTAGAAAATTAAAAATATATATATTATTGCAATTTCTCAGTTTTTATTTTGATGGACAATGATTAAAAGAGGAGGATACATGTATTTTTTTAATTTTTTTTTTTAATTTCCTCTATGTTTAGGGTGTTAGTTTAGATATTATAATTTTTTTTGTAAAGAGTAATTTTAGTTTTTCATTAAATCTTACAACTTTTGGTGAAAATAAGACTTCCGTTTGGAGTTATTTGTTTTTCTCACCAATTTTCTTTCTTTCTTGTAATTACTCACCTTATTAATCATACAAACAAGGGGTGATAAAAAATCTCATTCTCTTTGAATCTTTTCTTTTCCCACCAAACCCTCAATCCAAATAGAGTGTTACTTATTAATCTCATCTAATCCTAATTAAACTAACGCATAGCACGAGATTATCTATATGTCTCAAATTCCCGTTCCTTTGTTCTAAAACATTCAAAATTGTTTGGATTATGCTCGATATTTCAATAATTATCTCACGTTTAATTTTACCGTATCATTCTTGTATAAATTTTTATATAGAATTTTTATTTGTACATCATTACTCATTTGAAAAATTTCTTACATATGTTCTCAATTTTCATTTGCAGGGAACAGATTGCAAGACGAGGCCTGCTGTAAGTAAAAATTTCTATTTTTACTCTCAGGCAACTTATATTGTTTATTGGCTCATACTCATCAAAGCATGCTTATTAAAATAAAATAAAAAAAGTAAATTTTTTTTATGATCCTAAACCAAATATTTTTTTTTTTTTTTGAAACAAGATTCAAATTTCTCTTTGAGTTTAAGAAATTACTACATGGTGGGTATCTTGTTATAAGCAAGTATTAGAAGCACATATTGTTCTTAAATTAAAGATGTTTGAGCTCAAACAATTACAATTTTCATTGCCAGGCTTTGACGTTCAATCGGTGTAACAACCTTCAGCTAAGTGGATTGAGGCATGTCGATAGCGCAAATAACCACATTTCGATTACCAACTGCGCAGTTGTCACCATCTCAAACATTCATATAACTGCACCTGAAACTAGCCCTAACACCGATGGCATTGACATCAGCAATTCGAACCGTATTGTGATTCATGATTCTTACATTGGAACAGGTATTTTATTTTTTAAAAACTTTTTATTTGGTCTTTTTAGCAGTTTTCCTTCATTTGATGTTTGTTGCTTAGTACATATTTACTTGTATGAATTTATCCAAAAAAATTTGCAATAATTGTAGGTGATGACTGCATTGCTATGATTAATGGCTGCAAATTTATCAACATTACTGGCGTAAATTGCGGTCCAGGCCATGGAATAAGGTCAAAATTCTCATTAAAATGAATTTTATTTACAAAATTGCTTCCACTACATAATTTTACGAAAAAATTATGCATAAACTTTCATAAGAATAATAAATTTAAGTTCCAACGAGTTACTTTTTGAAAAAATAAATATATTTCTTTTCTTTTGTTTGTTAGCATTGGAAGCTTGGGAAAAAATGGAAGTAGAGCTACAGTGGAAGAACTACATGTGAAGAACTGTACCTTTAATGGAACTCAAAATGGGGCAAGGATCAAGACATGGCAAGTAAGAAACTCAAACCAAGTTTAGAAATTAATTTAATCTGACTTTATTTGCCTTAATTATATATTTTGTTCACTATTCCTTTTCTCAAATTCATATGTTTATTTTTTGTGTGTTTTTTAGGGCGGATCCGGATATGCTAAGACAATTTCTTTTGTTGACATTATACTTATTGAAACGGGCAACCCTATATTGATTGACCAGTATTATTGTCCACACGACACTTGCAAAGATCAAGTAAGAGTATACACCTTGGATTAGTATATGCATTATTATCAATACCTTATATCGTTATGTACATTTGTTGTTATTGTTGTTTATCATTTTTTTTTAATTTACTAATGATGAAATTGATATTTGTTTAACAAAACTTTGATGACAGACATCGGCAGTAGGAATAAGCAATGTGTCATTTACTGGATTTCGTGGAACAACTAATACAATAGATGCAATCCAACTCAACTGCAGTAAAAACGTACCTTGTACCGACATTGAATTGAATCAGATCAACATAATGCCAGCGCCTGATATGAAGCCGGGAACAATTCTTCAATCCACTTGCATTAATGCCCATGGAACATCTAACACATCCAATAACCCTAAAGTGACTTGTTTAATTCAGTAGCTTGACTCTGATGTTATGAAGTGTTAATATTATAGTATATATTGTTATCATCATGGATAAGTAGGCAGATTAACCTCGATCAATTTAGTGGGTTTTTTTTTTTTAATATTTATAGTAATAAAACATCCATTTATATATTCTGAGATGTTTTTGGGCTTCTAATTTATCATTTGCAATTTTTTTTTTCTTTAAAATATTTGTGTTTAAGATAGATTTGTTTATCATTCAAACCAATTCCAAAAGAGTTTTAAATTGACCTGATGACAAACAAAGCTCAAGTAGCTTGGCTTTTTAAATGCATGAAAAATTATCGTACTAAGTATAGTATGTTGTTCAAGTTTAGTTTAGAAACTTAATGAACTCAAAAATATGTTGAATATTAAAACATTTATATAATGAGTAGTTGTAAAACAAAATAGTAAAGCCAAACTCAAATAGTTTAGTTCATTTTATAGCATAACAAAGACAGAACGTTGTGTTCAATAAAATTTGCTTTCAGCTTGCTTGAATATGCACAGGATCTGAAAGAATGTTTAAGAATCAATATCTACATTGCAGTTTTAAAATTTATCAATTCACAGCAAATAATACAGAACTACCTATTGTGAGAATGAAATGAGGAAAATAAAAACCTAGAGAGGTGGAGAACTTGCTACACTTCACAACAATCGATGACTGCAACTGCTAAAACAAATAAATTAAATAAATGAAGTTCAATATGTGCAAAGAAAATGTTGGGCACATACATTGAAAAATTGACATGGACACTCTTGGAATTATTGTGCCAAAAAGACTGATATCAACTGATTAACACATTGTCAAAAGGTCTAAACAAATCTCAACAAAAGAAAATGTAAAAAAATTGATTGTTGGCCAGGCTCTACTAATTATTTTAGGCTACTATTGTCCTCAAGTTACTTCTGCTTTAGGCTAAAGTTATATGAATTGTGGAATTGCGCAACTCAATGACTATGAATCTAATCTTAATACAATACAACTAAAAGATGGATTAAAGTTATGCTAATATCATCCAATTTCATTTTTTCACTCTTATATACATACTAGTGGTGGTGCACTTGCTTTGAACGTGGTAATTTTTCTTTCTCTTTTTTTGTAATTTTTTTTTTTTTTTGGTTTTTAGGTTTTGTAATAGTTTTACCTTTTGAACCATTATTCATGAGCACAAATTTCATCTTAAGAGTTTAATCCCATACTCACATAGTCACGTTGGCACACACCAATCAGAGCAACACTTAAACGTCCCATATCTACCTTGTAACCCATTGTGAGAAATGTCACTTCCCACGAGCCCAAAGTATTCAAACCTGGCTCACTCTGATACCAAGTTGTAACGTCCCGATATTTATACCACGATATGCTACCAACCCAATATATGAACAATAAGCAAAGCTATACAATTCAATAACTGAAATCTATCACGTTCTCATAAATTTCTTGTCAAGCTCAAACTAATAAAATTACAATACATGGTAATATAAAAAATATCCATCTAAATTGCCACAAGGGCTTACACCTTTCAAGACTAAGAGCCTTGATTCAATAAATAAAATTCCTAACTCAACAAACAATCTCAATTGCTATAGGAGAACAACATCAAAGAAGCTTCAGTGCTCCACATTAAATTCCATTCGCTTTTCGACACTATCATGGTACACCTTCAACACCTGGATTTTAGGATATCCAGCATATAGAAAGAGAGTGAGCATTGACGCTCAGTAGGAAATAAACTTAACAACAAATAAAGTATGCTCAAAGTGATTATGTTTATGCAATGTCATGCCATGCATACAACTTAACTTTATTCGAAAAACCAATTTGTAAAATGCTAAATTCGTATTCCAAGTTTGACCCGATTTGTTAACCATTGATTTAACCATGAACCTTCATTTTGTAGCAAACTCCACGTTACATATCACAAACACTCCCCATATTTACTGACCACCAAGCACAATAAGACAAGTGGACACCTCTTACTTTTAGAAAACCTCCACATTCACCGGCCACCAAGCACGGAGGGACAATTGGGTACGCATCAATCATTGTAACTTTTCCCCCACATTTACCGACCTACAAGCGCGGAAGGGTAATTGGACACCTTTACCACCATACCGATAACATCCCCACATTTTCTGGCCTACAAGCACGAAAGGGCAATTGGGCACTTCAACACACAACACATTTCAAAATAACCCATTTTTAATTAACTCTACGCACTAGGTCCCAAGGCCATGAAGATACAATGCAATACAATTGGTTTACCAATATCATAGTTTGCCTATGGTTCAAATCATTATTACAAGAATAATTAACATGAAACATAAGCAAGGCAATCTCAACAATTTCCATAATCATCCAATAGAGCAACATCAATCCGAAATTCTCCATCATTCTAACATCATGTGAATATCAACTCAAAACAACTCCAATTCCACTTTTAAACATTATTTAGGTAAGTTATCTCATTCCCATTAAACTCCCAAGCTAAGGTTCCAAAAAGATTTAATCCACAACTTCTATCCCCACATTGATTTCATCAAATTATTAGGATTTACCCATTTCATAATCTCCATGTATTCCAATACCATATTAATGTAAATTTTAACATAAAACTATTAATTAGTCTCAAAATCCCATTTTTACTCAACATTCAAACCTAGGGTTTTAAAGAAAATTGGGGGTTTTCCTTTTTTCTTAGTTAAATCCTCAAATCATCAATTATTATTTATCAATATGCTTAAACATTCAACACCCTTTGAAAATTTGAGTGAAAACCCCTTTTGTACTTAAACAACTAGCCATTAATGTTTTCTAACCCATAATCAACTCAAAATCTCAAAATGTCACCAAAATCACTTTGAATCATAAGTATTTAAGGCTAAGAGAACTCCCTACCTCAAACTTAGAAGAGGAGGAAGGAAGAAAAGCTCAAAAGTTGACAGTGACGAAACAATGATTTACTCTAATCAAAACGAAGCCCTCAATAAGCTTTACATTTAATCTCAAAGGAGCAAGGTGAGGAGATGCTGCTAAGTGAGTAGATTTGAAGATCTTTGAGCGAAAAAGTGAGTTTAGAGAGAGAGAAGAGTGATTCACGGTTTAGAGAGGGGAAAGAGAAAATAAAGTAAAGAAAATTATAAGTGAGGACCATATTTATAGTTCTAGGTTAAAGTGAAATAAAATCCCAAAGTCAACCCAAAAGAACAAGTCAAAATCCCCAAGAAGTAGGGCCCAAAACCAAACTAAAATCTAGAAAAAGACTCACAGGGGTCGACCCTTGTGTCGGTGGTGTCGACCCTTCAGGAAGAATTGGCAAAAAGATAATGTTGGTAGCAAACAAGGTGTCGACCCTTGGACCAAAGCTGTCAATACTAAATTTCAGCAACTAATTCCAGATTTTGCAATAGACAAGGGTCGACCCTTCCCAGATTGGTGTCGACCCTTAAGGTCAACAAGAAAAGGCAAGTGTCGACAGCACTAAAGGTTGGTGTCGACCCTAAATTTCAGCAGCGATCTAAGAACCGACAGCAAGATGGTGTTGACACCTCCAAAGTTAGTGTCGACCCTTGGAACAAAACAAGACAAGGAAAAGGAGGCAGTGTCTACACCAATAAGGATGGTGTTGATCCTTGAAGCAAAAACTGAACATAATGAGAGAGGAAAAAAAAAAACGACTGCCATAGATATGGTTTCCCGGATTCAAAAGCAATAAATGAGTCGGGTCTAAGCCCAGATCGCTATAACCAAGAGTTCGACAAACATACAAGTTTTAAGGTGATGGACACCAATTTACACCAATCCAATACGTATTAGAATCCAAGTTATTACATGATATATCACCTTGTTTGGTTTATACTATTTTTCTAAAAATTGAGTTTTTTTTTTATTTTTTATTTATTTTTTGGTTTTTGTTTTTAGTAATTTTTTTATATATATTTATGCAATTTTTTATTTTTTAGATACACTTAATCTGGATATACTTAAAAAGTATAATATTTATAAAAAAATTTTGAAAAATTACCAAGTACAAAAAAATATAAATATTCAATGCATTTTCATATTTTATTGTATTCAAAAAATATTTTAATATATTTTTGTACAAGTTTATACTTTTTAAGTATATCAAAATTACGTGGATCTAAAAAAATGATTAAAATATTTTAAAAAATACACTAAAAATACAAAAATACGAATTGAAAACTTAGAAAACCGGTTTTAAAAATTCTAAACCAAACAAAGATTGATTATAATTTTTTTACAGGATAGAATTTTATAAAAATCAATCTTGCACTAGTATCCCATTTTAAGGAATACCTTTTGTAGACATTCTATTGTTGACAGTCCTTAAGACTTGGGCGTCACCGATTGGTCACCCAATGATGAACGCATATGCTTGTCGAATGCTCGAATTCCTTAGCGGGAAACCTCAGCTTCAAGCCTCAGAAACATACAAACCTTGTGCCTTGTTTTTGGACCAAAACAGCAGCTTTTCAAGCCGGATCATCCAGGGGCCTGACGACCACTAATGCAAAAGCTAGATATTTTTGGCCAGCTAGCTCCACAAGGGCATGCACTATTCCAGCTGTGTTTGTATGGATATTTCTGGCGGTCTCTCATATATTTCTATATATAGATGACTGTCTCTTACGTTTTAGAGGTTAGAAAAATTTTGTGGAGCAAAAAATTTTGTGCACTCTCGCTCTATATATTTCACTCTCTCCTTTGTAACTTATGCACTCTTGACCTATACTCTCCAAACAAAACCTAGAGGGTTCTTGGATGAGGTGTTTGAGCATGCATCTTAGCCCTTGAGGGTGTTAGATTGGTGGTTTATAACTTCAAAGGGTCATTCCTCTTTAAAGGTATATACCCTAGCTTGCTTGTATCCTTTCTTTTCCATCTTTTTTTTGTTGTTTTTTGCACAGTTTTTCAATTGTTTTTATGAGCTGAAACTTGTGGTTTAAGGCCATTAAAGGTAGAGG